GTGTGTGTGTGTGTGTGTGTGTGCGCGTGTGTGTGTATGTATATATATATATATAAAGATATGTACCCCACAGTGACTTGTGTTGATGCAATAATGTGCCAAACTGAATGTACATGACCGTTGACTACACGCGTGCGTGACCAAATGAATACTTGTATGTGAAAAAATATACAGGAACATGGGGAATGCACAATAATTGCTAAGCTTGTGAAGTTTTTTAATGCACATACTTTGTGGCCACCATGAAGATAACGTGCCTTTCCCATGGCCTTCATGGTTCCTGTGTGGTAGTAAAACACCGCTCTTATACCATACTCATCGATCCCTTCCTCAGTCCTGAGTTCCTCTTACACTTTAAGCCAGTATCCGATCGCATAGCACACGACACAGCTGGTACACAACACACACGCAAGTTGCGCGTTCAGTCACATCAACAGCCTCGTAAACGTAAACGTAAATCTACACGTGTCCAGAATAGTGGTACTGTAGTAGGGGTAACCGATGGCGATATACGTAATGGCATAGTCAGTCAAAGTGCTGCGAGTTTGACACGCAATGAACCTGCTGAAGTGGATCATGTCTCGATCAGTGGCGAGGTGTCCTCGGCTTTATACAGTTTGAAATCTTCCATTATTCACGGTAGTCTGCACACCGATATAAGCGATAGCAACCGACACAACACAGATCACAATAGTTCAAGCCCACACGAAAGAGAAGGCCTGGAGAGCATAAACGGGCGAGTATATGTGAGTGGCAAGCCACACTGTCAGCTACCAGCACTGGAGGGCATCGACTTGAGCTCAGTAGACATAATCTTATGTTCGAATTGGCACTCATGCCTTGCATTGCCTTATATCACGGAGTACACGTCTTTCCGAGGGTTTGTATACGCGACAGAGGCGACGAAGATACTGGCTAGACAGGTAACGCAGTGTAGGATATAGACGTTGTAGTATGTAAACCCACGTATGTATTGACATACTTGCTATGCAGGTGTTATAACTCTTCTTTATGTGTTTGCGGATCAGCACTTCTGCTTTGGCTTGCCGAATATTACGGAGTGCACGCTATTCCGAGGGTTTGTACGCGCAATGGAGGCTACAACGATTCTGGCTAGGCAGGAACCTTAGTGTTGGTAGACGCGTAGTGTGTAGATGTGTTGTACGCCTATATATGGATCGTTGGAGTTGTTGGCGGATACTAGTAGCTATGATGTGATTCATATTAAGGGGTTTGTATACGCAATGGAGGCTACAAATTTACCGACTAGACAATATTAACCGCAGTGTTAGCACATGCGTAGTATGTAGTTGTGTTGCACCCCCACATACTGTTGATAAAGATTGGATTCTGCTGGTAGAACTTAGTTGTGGTGTTTGTTAGAGGGCTTGCATACGCAATGGAGGCTACAACGCTACTGGTGAGACAGGTACCGCAGTGTTGGCCGATGTGTAGTATGTAAATGCTTTATACCCCCATATATGGACCATTGGAGTTCTCGCTCAAGCATTACATTCAAGCCATGCCAATCCTCAGCGCACTTGGTTATTCTTCACCTCGTATGCTATCACCCCAGGCTATGATGGAGCTATCTGCATACGACACACGCTTGCCCTGGACGGCTGACACGCATTTAACACGAGAAGCGATGGAGTACGTGCACTCGTCGCATAGCGTAGCACCTGAGTGCATCCGCGAAATCTACAGCTGCGGGGTGAGTATGAATGTATATAGGTATCTGGTATATATCCACGTACATCGAAGTATATGCGTGTATATATATGTGCATGTATGGCGGCATGTGTGCGCGATTTATTCATCTGTTTGTGCGTAGTATTCATGTTTGCAGATGCATATCTCAGATGATTGTGTCATACTTTTCATATTTTTATACATAGTATGAGTCTATATACACTTGCACGTGTAATTATAATACTGCGCCGCACAGTTGAGAGTTGAGTGGGTACTCTGCGTAAGCAGTCGTGGCGTTAGAAGCTGAGTATATGTTATAACCCATCGATTGGAGTTTATTTGAGTTACTTTTTACTTTGGGGTTTTGCAGTCGTTCTCATGCCTATCACCCTAGTAACACATATTTTTAAGCCAGTCCTTAGAACCAAACGTTCCGTTTACAGTGAATGTGCGTGCATAGAAATGGTCACACTATGTCAAGACATGAGATACGGGGCTACGCGTGGTTGCATGTATGAGCTGATACATCGGGGTACCCTATCGTACCATAGGGTGTGTACATACTGTTCTTTGTGTGTATGCCCTTGATATCACTAATACCCGCTCTTATGCGATTGTTGCTGAGCATATGTACCTGTATATATATCGAGTTAGTCGTATTCCAATACGTTGGCGATATCTTACCAAGTACACACGCGCACAATGTGTTCCATATACTCGAAGCCTTCTCTTCCATACGCATACAAACAGTAAAACAGTATACCCTTGAGTCTGATCCCGGGTCTCTCTCTCTTTTACACGCACATAGGTTGTACAATCTTGTGTCGAGAAGATACAGGAGGTATCGTTTAACCAGCCTATCTCCATATCGGGTGTGCTGACTCTTACGGCTACCAGTGCGGGCCACAGTCTGGGCAGCTGCTGTTGGTCGGTACAAACGAGCATCGGTGCTACCTCTGAAGCGCAAATGATGGGTGAGGGGTATGTTAAGTTGTATGTATACGTGGTTATATCTACTTTATAAACTGGTTACAGAGACGCAACGTTTATCTACATGCGGTTATATCTCCTCTAGGAGATTGGTTGCCTGCAATGGTGATGGAGACGGGGTATGTGAAGTGTGTGTATATGGGGCTATGCGTTAAAAACTGATTACCTCTGAAGCTCAGGTGATGGATGAGGGATATATGTTAAGTATGAATGTGCAGTAATAAATGATTTATGACTTTGTGTAAAATACAATCCAACGACCGGGCACATTTAACTCTATGAATATAAGCGTTGAGGTCGCATATATAAATTTGTTGCACGCATGTAGTGCGAGTTGTGGTTTTATACGCGCTGTTCAAGTTAATGTACACCAGCGGATCACCTGCCACGTTTTGTGACCAATTAACATGTTTTTTAAATGCACCCACAGCACTCAACCTATATCGCACGGCCTATTGTGACCCATGCACGATCCACAACGTCTAGAGCGTTAATCGTTTCATGTTTCATTATCGCGATGGTATTTATACCATGTTTCGTAGCCTTGTGCACAGTTATCACCCGCTCGCTAGGTATAAAAAAACTATTGTCTACTCCCGCCGCAGGAAAACGCGGGAAGACCATCACATCGGAGAGAAGCTAGTGTACATGAGTGCTACTTCCCTGGACACTGCCAATATCACGATGCCTTTCGATCCCACATGTCTAAAGCACTGTGACGCGCTTATCATGACAGGCCTTTCGCCGCGTGACCCCTACACCCCCACCCCGCTCAAACACGTGATAACACGGATATTGAAGGAGGTATGTGGTTGCATGTGCATACCTACTGTACTCGCTTGTACTCGTGCGCGTACTTTGTAGGAAAACTACGGTAGTCACGCCAACGCTTGTTGTATTTAGGCTCGTCAACCATATATGTCTAAAGCACTGTGGCGCGCTCTCCATGACCGGCCATTCGTCACGGGACGCCTGCATTCCCACACAGGTGCAAACATGTGAGTACTACAGATATTGAAGGAAGGATGCGGTCACCTACTGTATTCATACTCTATTCAAGAACCACCATACGTATGACGGCATTCGTTGCCGTTCTGCTCAGCGATCCCATATGCCTCAAGCACAGTGACACTTTGGTCTTTGCTGGACTTTGACTACGAGACTCGTACACTCCCATACTAATTAGCCACGTGTACCACGCATACAGTCATATTTGTGGGTGTAGCTACTATATAAATACTGAGTTGTGCATCAATCGTCCACTGGAGAAGCCGGAAATTGAGGGATGTATGGGAGTACCTAAACCATATCCTTACACTGCTTATTTACATCTGTTAGAGCGGATGTTGTACATTGCATAGGAGCATTCACTTCATGTGTATCCTGACCGATAGACCACTTGACTACTTGAACACCATACACACAAACATAAGGATGTGTGTGAGAATGTACTACACATGAACTCAACGCCTCTCAAACAAGTGACATCGCGAGTATTGAAGAATGCATAAGAGCATCAACTACATGTGTGTCACTTTGGATATTCACAAGGATAATACCGGTCTTGTTTGCTTTTTGTGCTCCGAAACTAATTCTTTATGTGTTGCGCAGTGGTGTACACCAATCAGTCTTAATATATAGGTGACCAACTCAGGATTCTGAGCGTAGGTGCGTTGCAGTAACACGATCGTCACTTCGATTGCCTTCAACTCTTGAACTGATACATGTTCACACTCTTCCTCGACGGATGTCCTACAGATGTCTTATCGCATCATACACTCTACCCTGTCTACTACCACCTCAGGTACTGGAGACCGTCTTAACCGGTGGCTCTGTTCTTTTCCCCGTACATCCATCGGGCAGCATCACACTCCTTTTAGAAGAGCTACATGCTTACCTCAACTCCCACGACAGGCAGGGAGTGCCCTTCTACGTTGTCTCTCCCACTGCAAGAGCATCGGCACTCTATGCAAACATCTTTACGGAATGGTATGAAGGGTGCATGGTGATGCCATTAAATCCAAAATATATCCTGTGTCTGTGTTTGTGTCTGTGTCCGTGTCTGTGTCGTTTGTATTTCAGTGTTTTTGTATATCATGTGTCATTGAATATTTGTATGTGTGTGTGTGCTTTGTTATGGGAAGGGATACAAGTATGTCGACATAATATCTTATGGCAAATGTGAATTAGTGCCATACAGTGGTATGTACGAAAGAGTGATGGAGTGTACTAAGTGCAGCGTAGTGATTTGAATTGTTACAAGCAAACGAGCAAAAGACATGACAACTGCAAATTTTGAGCAAAGACGACGACCTTACATGGAGCCGCAATTGCCTTTGAACTGTGATGATTGTTGCGGATAGTTGTTATCTTTATATGAGATGGACATAGGTAAGTGCAGAGGAGTGAGAGAAATTTGTACGTACAAATGAAGGAGTTGTTTCCGCAACTACAAGATATTGAGGCAGAAAGCACACACATAGAGAGTAGTCGGTGCGGATACATTTGTGCTGACAATATTATCGATATGGCCGTATCAAGTGTCAGATCTCACATGTCAAGTATATCCATGCACTATTATTACGAGACTATCCTGCTCTAGTCAGTCACGTAAAGACCTTGTTACATATCACAATTCTGCTGTTTATTTTTCTCTGTGTGGGACTCAATTGACGTTATTCATGCATTCTTAGTCCGCATTCACATATTACGTGACATTGTTGCTCAAATCGCCTCCACTGCCTGTGTTTGATTTGTAGTCTCGTTCAGCTCGGGGCAGATAAAGCGTACGCACTGGAACATCTGAGCTGACGATGCGTGCCAATCTGCAAGTCCATTGGTCTTCAGTGCATATCTCGGGCCAATTATCTGTCACGTCCCACTAATTTGTTATACTTCCGACTAACTAATCGCGTGGCTATTACAGGCTGAACCAGCACAGGGCTGACAAGGTGTACACACCAGAGTATCCGTTTGAGTGGGACAAGCTAATCCGTGCGCAGCGGCTGACATTTATCTCAGATATTAATGATCCGTATGTATCGTTGTCGCTTTGTGTGTGTGTTGGGGGGGGTGGGGTGTTAAGATGTTGTTACATGAGATACCGCCATTTGCAAATTAGAATTGTGTGTCGTGTTCGTGTGGTCAACGGCGAGTGTAAATCAAGCTGGTCTTTGTATGTATATCATGAGGGTGGGTGGGTGGTATTCCAACGTATTGGTGTGAATAAATTTACCGCCAGGGAATGTGTAGTCCAACTCATTACGCACATCGCTCAGGTGTGGTGCAGTAAGTCAAAAGGCATGGTGTAGATAGATTGAACTTGTCTTCGTATTGATACTAAGGAGGGTGCTGGCAGTACACATAGATTGGTATCATTATCATTTGCCTGAACTACTCTTTTCTGTAGCGTTAAGAGATTGTCCATGCGCACGTTGCAAGCGTCTCCACCCTTTACAATGTAATTCGGTAGCTCCAGCTATCACACTATACTTCATACGCACGCGGCAATCCGCAAGACAATTCATATTGCGAGATATATATTAATGGTCCTGTACGCTACCCTGTACTTCGCCACCTAGTCCCACTGGAAGTGACTGGCAAGTATCACGCCGCGAAGCAGTAGGCTTGCCTGGTAATGCGGCGGGTAGTATGACGTGGAGCATCGTGTGGTGAGAGGTCATACATGTGGTGCAGAAAATACTTTCGAACACAAGTCATGTACACCTGCAAGTAAGCACGTGACAGGAACTTGAGAGATAAGCTCCGTAAGCCGTGTGTGGTATTTGCTGTGTTCGAGTGTGGCTCATTTACTTTGGCTATTTGTTACATCACAGGAAGGCGGAGAATCTATTCCGCAAACCTTGCGTGATATTCGCCGGACACCCTTCACTGCGCCTGGGCGACGGCGTGGCGTTCTTGTGGGAAATGGGACAGGATCCACGAAACCTTGTCGTGTGTACAGGTGGGTAGGCATGCACAGTCGTGTCGGGTCAGGTTATACGAAGATCGTGAACGTGAACAGTGCATGTCTATCTACTTTATTTTCAGACTAAGCACATATACACGTAGCGCAGCTGCCTACTACCAGCCCTGCCCCTAGTCGTTTGAGGCAAGAGAAGGACAAGGGACTACAGTCGCCATTATCACCCGTGACTTGCTCTCTCGTTTCAAGAAATCAGGCTTGTATGCAACATCATCTCACAGAGATATATTGCTACTACACACTACATTGCTCTATATACCTATACAACGTATTTACTTACGAAACACAAATTGACAGATTGAAATATCATCTACACCAGATATTATCATTCATTTATATCCATCTGCGCAGGCATCGACCTATCATTACTTCACCCTGGTCCACACAATATCAACTTGTGAGAGACCACGTACGTCACAAATGTCTCTGTCTGAAATATCATGCCTTATGTGTGCGGGAAACTATAGAAACTAGGCGGTCTACCAAGTTTACCGTGCTCTATTAGGTAACCTACGATCCAAATACGTACATTACTTTCCCAGTCTAGCCTGGAGCCAATCATCTTTGTATTTCTCAAGTCAATGTATGAAAATCGTACAGATTACCCTGAGGCTCTCATATACAGTCTGATATATTGTCTATTGATCCCTATATTTTTTCCTGGCGGCGAATGACACATATTGAACATAATCACGCGACTCGCGACGATTGCACTGAATGTGGCTGCGTCCATTATCGCCACTTTGTATTACCCTTATGTGGAATATGCAAATATCGACCTCGCCATTAGTTGGGTAGCACAGGGAACCTCTTTCCATCTCCATACATGCTTACATTTTCTATTTTTTTACCTTGGTTTGTCTATATACGTGCAATATTCCAGAACCCGAATACGCCCACTCGACAGTGCTGGATCCATTCCGACCGCTGGGGTGCAGAGAGACGTACTGTGCGATGGATACGCGCATGGATGTGCGGGAAGCTTCGGAACTACTCGCTAAGTATACGCCACCACTGCTCTTGCTCCCAGATGTCTTCAGCCCTGACAAGGTGAGTGTGCGTGGTCGCGTCTGCAGAGTCTGTTATGCAAAGCTGTTGTTGTGTGGCGGCCTGGTGGCGTTGGAGTGGGTGATTAGCCATGCATGGTGTTGTATGATGTTTGCACCCAGTGATCAGTAGTTAACCCCCTATTAACTACAATCAACTGCACACACATCTACTAGCACTGTTCCTCCATCATCCACATCTACAACCCTAGCACAGGTTTATTCTTTTTTTTATAGAACTGCTTGCTCTTATCTTCTACAAAGCGTCTACGAACACCCAGTCGCACTGACCATTTACTATATCAACTGTACAAACTTGCCCGCTTTCAAGAGTTACAAAAATATTGCTTTTACACGACCATTCTCATGGGCCTTCAACCACAACTCTACACACTCACAGGCGACCTCATACACAACCGATAGAAGGCCTATATTGTCGGTTGAAGTGAACCGCAGTCAGACTGCGCTTCTCTCCATGACGTGTGGCGTGCCGATCAAAATCTCCGTCTCAAAACCATTCCGCGCAGCAGCTATCTCGAACGATGTGAGTGCATGCAGGCTATTGAGGCTGTGTGGATATTCGTGTGCCAACGAATGTTTGTAAATCGGTTGTCATAAAATGACAATTAGTGGGATAACCTGAATACACGGCTAGTTGGGAAGTGCGTTACATACATTGAGTCGCTATTCACTTTTGGATTGTATCAGCGTATTGTTATGTGAGAGCTCTTTTAAATACAAGTATGATTCAACGAGATATAGCCGTAGAATAAGAATCGTTCACTGAAACTATCTTTCTTTCTAAAGAACCCTGGGACTCTTCGAACCATCACCTATAGTTTTCAGTATTCGAATAGTGACAAATTATGATTCCCGGTACACACAAAAAGCATGGCATGCCAGCATATCTCATCAGCGCGTATTGTATCTCGGGCTGCAGCAAGCTAGGATACATGCATCAACATCTTCTACCCAACCAGGAAACCCACACTAAATTCTTGGACTAAATGTATGTGAGTTATATAGCATGTCCGTACACCCCCTAATGCAAGCGCTTCTCCCTCACTCTTGCAATATACCAACACTTCTCCTGTATCTAGCTCGCGGCACTGACGAAACCTGTAGCAGTGGGCAACGGCAACCACTTCGCACCCGTTAGCGGCCTATTGAATCTAAAAGACAACGAAAATTTACTAGTAGTCGACACCGATCCACCGGTATGTAGGCTTCACATGTCTTACCCTGTTGCGTATTCGTTGCATGATCCTCGCTTTCCATCTGACTGTGTGGCTTATCCCTTGTTATACCTAGAGGCGGTGTGAAAATCTGTGGATGAGCGAATGTAGTGTACGTACTTACTGTGTGATACATAACCAGTACGTTTTCTCGATGCTGTCTACGATTCTGTATGTAGCTATCGACGTATACCAACACATATCAACTATACTTTATGTTGATGTACTGTGCTGTGTTTCTTATTGGTGAGTATAATTTCCGCAAGTCATCAGGAAAGTCGATGACACTAGGTGTTACCAAAATTAATGCACGCTTCTCGCGGCATTGGTCCTTTCAATTTCTGCAATCTTCTCGCACATTTGCCTTATTTGCACTGTATATGGATATGCACTACGAAAGTGACAATATCTAACTTTATAAATCTCAACTTGGCCTTGAAGATTCATCTCAATATCGCGAATAATTCTATATTCCGATAGCGCCTTTGCGAATATACAAAGTAAACGTGGTCACATGTTTTTCTTCGCCCTTATCTTTCAAAACAGGATTGGGCTGCTTACATTGTACGGAGAATTATATCATAATGTGGCTCTCAACCCTGTTTCAGAACAATTACTCTCAAATTGTGGCATTTATCAGGAGTTGGGCATGTTTAGCTTTATGTTGTACTCTGCACCTCTTGAACAACTCTAGATTCGTATTGTGTCTTCCACCTCACAAAACGCCCGTTCTCGATGCAATAATAGCGCACAGATGGGGAACGAGTTTGGGATATGCGTCGACATCTGACGGGTAATCTGGCGGTGGTCGATATCTGTACCGACCTTGTCGCTCAACTGGTAAGAATATGAAGGCTTTAATCTGTATTTATGTGGCCAGTATGGATATACGAAGGAAGCGAAAATACTGGTATATATCATCGTTTTTCATCAATAGATCATCTTGTGCTATATCTAATGTTTCCTCTTTAGATTTTTATAAATGTATTCTCGTTGGTATATGCAATTGATTTTTAAAGGTTTGATTATATCCAGAAAGCAACTATTAGTTTTGATACTGGCAGCAGTATTCAGAACTCGTGGCTAGGCTTGAGTTATTTGCCCGCCATCGCCGAGATGATCTTTTTAAATTCTATCCTATTTTACACACCTGAATATAGCCTGCGAATCTTGAGGTGACACGCCACCCCACACTAACGAACACGCACGTGTTGAAATTGACGGACATTGGCGTCACCATCACTCTGAGCCCCGCAACGAGCCACATAGCAATGCGCGATGACAACGACACACTCCGACAGCGCATAAAAGCGGTGCTCCTCAAATATCTGAAAGAATACTGATTTTATGTGAATGTAATGATAGCTATGAATTAACTTAGACCACACAGTATATGCTTATCTCGGCTATCAGTAAAGCATATTTCAATGACTCTAGACAAGTGTAAAAAGATTTCTTTCAAACCATCGGACGCGTGCTCCACGGACCCCTGTGCGAGAGATTCGTACCATAGAGTCAATATCACAAATGCCCAAAATGAGGGATTAGCTACTGATACATGCTTCAGTGAAATACATATATATATATATTCATCTATACTGACAACGTGCAGAATTTACCAATTCCTGGGTGCTAGGAGTTGTACGCTATGTTTATTTATTTCGTACCAATAACTCCTTCACTATTAAGTGATTGTCTATACTACTGCGAGTGTTGCTCACTAGTGGCTTATCACACCGATGAATATTGACGCTACGGAAGAATTTAAATCTTTGAGTAAACATTGCGTGCTGTTAGGCCTGTCTAAAAGCAAACACTGTTGTATTTGTAAGGTTGTGATACGATACCATTAGAAGAAAAGTAATATATGAACCAAACTATTTTTATCTTAAACTCGTAAAATCGCAGTGTGTATCCATAATCCTGATTTCTCGAATTAAAATAACAGCGCTAGATTAAAACGTAAATAAATACCGCAACACTTGTTTACCAAGTGACAAACTTTATATATTTCAATTTTGTATATATAATTACTTTAAAAAGCCTTCTCAGAGCCTAGTGGTTTAGTGGTATAGTTACCCCCTGCCAAGGGGTAGGCCGATTCGATTCCTGACTATGTGAATTATTTTTTCTCTTTTGTGTGTATAAATAACGTTAACAGGTGGTAACTTTTGGAAGACTAATCCTCCCACTCTTAAGCCTGGGACGATTGAAACCTATCTGCCCTATATTCCACTAGGACAAAGTATTCAATTCGAATCATATCCTCCTCAAAAAAACAAATATGAAGCGGACGAGATTGCGTCATGGTTGCAACAATGGTACACTGGTCTTTTTTACTCTGATAAGAATGAGATTGAGGATAAAGAAACGGGTTCAACCAATTTTAACGACACCGACAACTTTACAGATAATGGTTCATAAGACAATTCAGAAGTGAATATCATTCAGTACAATACAGGGTTGTAGCACAGATGTCTTAAGCGACAACTTGCCTGTTTGCATTTGGCAACATATAAAGGTACGTGTGTCTCGATTTAAGTTAATGTGATTATGTTCATATAAATAAATAACGAATTAGGATATGTGTAACTACGCTCTAATTTGTGTACAATGTGTTTTTGGATGCTGGAATGGGCCAGTTCATCAACGAGCTTCTAGGACTATATATTGCAGCAGTAGCTACCGCAACTGGGATATCTCATAGTGATGATGTACAAACGGGCACACTGAGCAATCAGAACGAAGATCGAGACAACACAGACGAATCGATTGTAGAAGAGGACGAATTCACGTTGTCGCACACTCACCGCAGTTTGGCGGAATGTATAAGATATGTTTGTTACGCTGGACATGTAGTATGCGTTGCCGGATAGGATCAATAATGATCCCGTTTAGATGAGTTTCTGCGTGGCTAGAGCAATGGCGGGTGGCAACTGCCACTTGGTTATCATTGCATACGTATACTCACAACGAACTCTCCTCATAAGAACGATGTATGACATATTTAGAAACGACGACCAGAGTCACAACCGCGAACTATTCCAAATTCTCTTTGAGGAGCTGCAGACGAAGACAAATGAAGTCGAGCGCACACAAGCAGATTTCTTACATAGACGGTGGAATCACTTATGTCATAATTACGGAAATAATCTGGCAATCGTACCGGCGCTGGACAAGATGCTGCCAAATATGCCGTATATGCTACGTATAAGCTGCCGAATGTTTTTTTAATTGGTTGTATTGTCTGCCATGATATCGTGAGTATAGGCAAAGTGCTTGATGGCGAGGACTGATTAATAACAACTGTAAACACAGCTGGAGAGAAAAATACAACGAGGCATTTCATGGTTGAGTGTTCCTGTACTTTTATAGCTCAGCTAGATAGGAAGGGCTTGATATGGCCATCGCGTTCAGTAGCTGGGCTGGCAGGTTTATTGCTTAATATTGTTGGTGGTACTATCAACGACAAGCTACCTTTGAAACAGTTCAACGAATTCGCTAGCGCAAGTAGTATTTGACTGAAAGTAGTTCGTTCACTTATGACGCATAGGATAAGTACATGTGGAGCGCTTCAACCATTGAACAGGTTTGCATTGTCTGCAATAAGGATTGAAATTGAGATATTATCTCTCACCTACTGAATACTTTATACAATATCGCTTGTAATAGTATGTCGCTAGTGCTGAACAGAAAGAATGCAGCGACAACAGTGACGTTAAGCAAGGTGAACCCCGACAAAAAGAACGGACAGCCCACTTCATTGATCAGCACTGATCATCCAACACTCCCCATCGATAACTCGGTCAAGTGGACATCTGAGAATGTAAAGATATTCTAGGAAGTGTAAGTGCGACCATGGGTTGTAAGATATTATAGGAAGTGTCAGTGCGCCCTTGGGTGGTGAAATTGATATGCTTCGCAAACGCTGTCTACTTCTCAGAGACTTACAGGGTCACGGTATTCGAAGGGTACTTGGGCTGAATACTGGTGAGACACGAAAACTTTGTAAACAACTTTACCTCGCACAAGGCACCAAAGTGAAACTGATGGAACGCATAGGGAGAACTCTGTTGAGCCCAGTGGCCCGGCAACAGAACGATGCGATTATAGCAGCTATTCGAGAGGGTTAAGCATACACAAAGAACCAAGAGATAGCGCGATATTTACAATAACGTAGCGAAAACTAATTTGTGTGTGTGTGTGTTTGATTGATATTGTACTAATATTGTAGCATACTGATCTGCGTCAATTGATTTTTCTCGTCTCCAAAACCTGTATGCCAGATACATGATGCCAGGCTTGTTCAATCAAGGAGGCTATGTTCAAACAACCATATTTATCATATGGTAACATTTCTTTTGAGTCTAACCCTTGTACTTAAGGTTCAAGCCTGGGACGAGTGGGACCTATCTACTCTATCGTGCACACGTGGAAGAAACTTTGCCTAGTTCTCAATATCGGGTTTATTTTACTACAGGTAGTCAGATTTTTGTACATGAACCCAATTATAGTTTATAGGTCCCAATATCTTTCAATCGAGATAATAGAATTAATATAAATATAAATTTTATATGCAATATGCAATGCAAGCAACAATGCCAGGAAAGATTGCATTTCTAAATAGGCAGTGGAAAGGATATGCACATTGCGCTCAAGTGTCCTGTCGTGTCTAAAGGTAGTTGATAGGTAGTTCAGATCAATATTCGCAATTCGGGTTTTTCGCTTCTACCGATTTTACCAACGATGTACACTGGGTCTCTCGGGATATCTGAGTTAAGCAATTTCTTTATAGCCTAAACCGGATCATAGTCTTCATAGTTAGTTATGTTTGTTTCAGATTGGACGTGACAGTCAGCATTGCCCCACAGCTCAGTAGCGAGATACACAGGAGCAAATAAGATGCCGACAAAGATTTTTTTTTGGTTCAGATCGGATGTAATCGTAGTGAGGATTGCTTGACGTACGTCGGCGAGCTGGAGTTTGTATTTAGGGATACGAATTTCAATACTATTTCTATAATACATATGGGATATATTCTATACAGACGCGAGCATCTTTCAACTCATCTACCCAATTAGTGGACGTATTTGAGCCTGACCAATATCGATTGAGATTTGATCATCAGACAAAACTAAGCAGATGCCAGTCTGATTTCGATCATCATAACATATAGCTGGATTGTCTATTATAGTATGATAGTTGAAAATAAGCAGATAGCAGTCTGATTTCGACGATAGTCAACATAGCATATGACTTGCTTGTTTGTTATAGTACGATAGTGATGTGTTTGTATCCCACTAATGTAAAATCTGTATCTTTCAAACCCAGAGTATCGTGCAAGGGCAAATTCCTACTCCGCTGACTATCAGGTTATCTGTATCAACATCGAATGGGGCGTGGTTGTATCGATATATAATACACAAACTTCGGACTCAAAATGAGATACGTTAATTTCGACTTTCTGGTCGAAGTTTGGGCCACCATTCGTTGCTTCTAACTCATTGTCACAATAAATTTCGGTCGGTTGACCCACTATCGATTCAAATTTACCAAGTTAACCCGAATCGAATTGAATACACGTCAAACCGTCCATTTCATAGATACCTATATTATGATGGCTATAACAGAGCAAGCTTGACAATAGATAGTATTGTGTGTATTTTCCTCTGTATGTAGATGTACGTACGAATTCATATTATAAACTATAATAAAGAAAAACTCCTTCAGAATTTATACCCAACTTTTAGTTTATTTGACCACTACTACCCAATGTCGATTGAAGACTATCTACCCACACACAAAAACATCTTCTTTAGTATCTTATCTCCCCTGATAAATTTGATGTAAGTTGTCGTCATATTTCACTATGTCCCAAAGGCAGTTACTTCACATGTATATCACAGAGTTCAGAAGCTCCCTATCCTAATACAAATGTACAAGTATCAGGGCCGGGCTTAATACGGAAAGTAGGTAGGGGCGACTGTTTGTTTTTATCTTCGGCCTGTAGCTAGCGAACTTTGCCCAGACTCCAACCCAGAGGGCAGAGATATATATATATACTAGGCAACATGATATTAAGGCGGAGAAGACGTCATCAATACCAGTTCTGGTACTTATAAAAAAACGAAGATGTTTGGCCCAAAAATATGGGAGGGCTTCCCTGAAACATAAATGTGCTTTGGAGCACCCTTGCAAATAACTATTATAGCTGCGAAGACAAGTTGGGGGTCCAAAAACTGCGAATGCAATAGACCCAAGACAATATATATGTATTTATTTTGTGAATAATAAATATCAATAAAACACAGTCTTTTGTCTCGTGGATAGTATAGTGGCTAGTATCTCCGCCTGTCACGCGGAAGACCCGGGTTCAATTCCCGGTTCGCGAATTTTTGTTAATCATTCTTTCTTCTTTTAATTTTGCGTTATTGTATTTTGTATGTATACCACGGAAGCATCCATATACAATACTGGGCCACCATAAATCGACGAATGTGATCACTGGGTTTTCTTTATATTAACAATAATAGATGCTGCTTCTGCACATAAATGGGCAATCCGTGCTGTATTGTAATGTTCTCTTTATCAGTAGACGAGATCTACGAAGTATTCAATCCTTCATTAGCCTGGTATTTAATGCAGATAACAATAATAAAAGATTCGGATTGTCATTCACATATTCTCTTAGAAACTGCTAAAGTGTGCCCAAATTCAATTGAACAACTTACAAGGGCGTTATCGTCAATACACTATTGTCTAAGATCATCACTGATGCTGCGGTTCAGAAACTATTTTATTGGCTGAACCTGTAGATGGTTTAGCTGTGCAGTCCTGCTCTTAGTATATAGATAGTTTAGTACCCTTAAACCCGAAATATTAAAATCCTAACACCCTAAACCCCTAAAGCCAAATGGATAGCAAAAATCAGCAAAGGACAACCAAATGGCAGATAAATTGACGCATCTACATGAAGATATATTAAATACTAAAAGAGTAGAGTACTCCTGAAAAGCCTCTTCGAATCGTGTTTTGTTCACAATTGACAGGCAATAGTGTGGTTGTATACGAGCAAAGTAGAGTTTAGACTCATAAAAAGTATGTATTATTCTACATATACATGCACGTAGCTTGGATGTTCAATATTCACATTGTACACAATTATTTTATTTCATAAGTATAAAAGTGAACAAAATTCAAGCTCCTGTCCAGAATATGGCAACCAACTGGGATACAGTTGACAGCACAACTTTCGCAGCGGAAGCATCTCATTTCGAGGACGCCATAACAGCTGCGAAGGAAACAAAAGAGGAGGCAGAATTAACATCATGCTTATGAGAGTAGGCATCTATGATCAGCAGCCCGAGCGTCGCATACCTCTGGTTGACTCAGAGCTCAGAAAGAGTTACGACCAGACCATCAATGCGTGTGGTGATGACGAGGAGGACGCATTATTTCAAATCAGTCATTACATTAGCGAGCTAGATATGATGCGTTCATACTCAGGTGATAAGGTCAATGAACCAGCATTATCTAAACTACTGAAGATCTCGGAATTTCCGAAGTTAACGAGAGATCCTTTCTTCAAAATAGAAAATTGTGAAGACAGTATCGAGTTTACTACGCAATACAGAGACCTGTTCTTAGTCTATGCCACTATGTCAATATCCAGCGCTCGTGAGATATCTATTAAATTACACTGATGAAACTGAGAAGACCAAGGTTCAATTGAACAGACCACAAGGGCATTATTGTCAATACCCAATTTTCTTCGATCATTATCAATGCTGCGCTTCGGAAAGTAAATCTTTGGCTGGACCTGCCGATGGGTTGGTTAGCTGTGCAATCCTGCTATTAGTATACATATAGTTCATTATCCTTAAACCCCTGAATATAAAAACCATAGCACCCTAAACCCCTAAAGCCAAATGGGTAGTAAAAATATTCCTCCACCACTGCTACATGTCCCAGACAAGGACAACCAAAAGGCAGATTAATTGTCGCGTCTATATGAAGATGCAATTAATACCAAAACGCCAGATGTATTAATAATCGCAAACATAACAACACACAAAAGCCAATAGTACACCACCTTGAAAATAAACATGACATTAACCATATCGGAAATAGACTGCAAGTTATATTCCGGATTCTACAGCCGGAAGACAGTTTAGCAAATCCACAGTATATCTGTTTATATCGGCACACAATGAACACACATATAAATAACAAACAAAATACTGAATGCGTTACTACCAAAGTGTGCACAGGAAGAAAATGCAATGGCAATTCCACTTCGAGAGCTCGTACCGGATGTACTTGACAAAGTCGTGAAAGAAGCAACCATCATCACGATATGTGTACTATACTACTCAAATGCAACGTGATTCCCTAACTGTGCTAGAAGAAGACCCGATGCTAGTGGAAACACACAATCAACGGGTTTTAGCTAAAGGCGAGACAGTACGGGGCAAACCCCATGGGGCATCACATTAGTAGCAAAGATAGACACTAAATCTCCATATTGAAAATACATACTTTGACAGGATACACCACCCCTCCAGACCGCTTACCAACCGGACACACGGCACCCCACCTTCCCCACCAACCCCGCTCACTCACACGCCACAGTGACCACCAACCCATCAACCAATACCACTTGATGATATCCACCGCCGAGAAACACCCCTCGAAATGTACTTAGACCATTCGCATACTTTGACATAAGGCAAGAATAACCAGGCATACATGTCTCAGCATCACAAACAGTACACAACGGACACCAACCATTAGGCGCAAATTTACGAACGTCGCATTAGTAGCAAATATAGGCACTGAACCTCCATACGAAAACCTCCATACTTTGACACAAGGCATGAACAACCAGTCATACATGCCGCAGTATAGCAAACAATACGTACCTGGGACCAGCCATGTGGCGCAAATTCATACCATCGAGCAATACCACAATCTGGGACACAGACGCATCTTTGAAAAGTGCTTTCTTAATCTGATTGCGAGCCACCCCGGCTGGCTTCAAATCACGGTACTCCTGTCATACCCAAGCACTTGCCGCCATGGAATCTGAGACACAGTCAGAAGAGGAGTGGAACGACGTCTGTCTGGACATATCCAAAGCATACGACAAGGTCGCTTTCCTACGCATATGGGTACGTCTGCGCCACGCTGGAATGCCCGAAAACTGGATCAACTTCCTCCGCGCGCTGTTTGGGAGGGTCCCTACCCGAGTGGCATACCAGCATAATTTGCACCGAAATCTACTGCAAAGCAGAAACGTTCCCATTCCTATTGTTGTGGAAATAGCAATACTACATATGAGTCTCAGCTCAATATGTTCAATATATTGGTGTTTAATATTTTGTGGATGTGCTTTGGGTATTGGCATTAATGAAAAGTGCCTCAATATATCATTCCTTGCTTCCTATTCATTACTTGATTAGCGACAGAGCCTCGTGCGCATTTTGGATCATGTGTCAAATCGTATGATGTTATTTTCAACCGCATCCTACTCTCATCATCTTTCACACCAGAAAATCGCAGCCTGTCTTTCCGGATCTACGATCGCGCCTCTTCATTAGATCCACATTTGTAGCCCTTTCAATATGTGAGTTTGTTTAGTTTTGTTTGGCGTTGTAGCACACTACAGCGTAGTAACCTCGTTTCAAATTGACATCCCTCTCCAAGACACGACAGTATGGTGGTACGCTGCATACTGCAAAGTAATTTAGTGTTAGAGTTTTGCGGAAATATGTACTATATACATTGATCAGTACGATATGACAGTATTACATACAGCAGCTATAAATGCCGTAGTTTCGTTAAAATAGCTAAATTGTACGCCCTCTTTGATTTCATGTATGTCCGGATCCCATGTAGAAGAGTAATCTGGGGACGGTCCTTCGTGTCGTGGAGCAGCGGTATCACGCTTTGAGACTCTCGGATTTGACCGCTTTGGTACAGATGTCGCAGAGTGATTCACATTATGTGTGTCTTGGAAGTCGTCATCGCCTTTTTCTTCATTGAACATCCTACATAATCCACATCAAGTTTGAAATCTTCGTTAGGAGTGCGTAATAAATCAATACAAATAACTTATCTCTTATCACTTATCATGGATGTATCAAACTATCGACTACCTTTTTTATCTGGATGGCAGAGTCTCCAATGGCCTTGGCGGAGATATAATACTTGATGCTCGTTTTGGTCTCGGTTTCGGTACAGGTTTTCGATTTGTAATTTCTGTGTCTGCAGAATGGAAATTATCACCGATGCCGGAATCATTCTTCGAGTTCTTTTGGTCCTCGTCATTATCAGGCTCAGATTCAATATCAAGCAGAGTCGGATGGCTTTTGCTAGATACATATCATAAACATAGATAGTTAAAATTAGTATACATTAAAAAACCGTATAACTTTTAGGCTATTCTCTTTCGACCAATGTATCAGAATTAATTTAACATACTTATTCATCATCTCCATGTCACTTTGGTCCCTTAGTGTAAGTTCTGACTGTGTTGTATCTGGTATCGATATCAAAGCAACATAACGACTATAACGGCCCAAATCAGTCATGTGAGTGTACGGTCTTTGGCTGAGCAGGTGCACTACGTCGATGCTTTGAATATATTTCTCATCAAAGAGCTGGATCTTATTTTATGATGCAAAGCAGAACTCATGCCGCATCTATGCCTGATCAATTTTTTAATCAAAGCTCCAGTAGAAGTACATGTGCTCCGACTACGTCCGATTTCTTCAGCAGCCATGTGATGGACGTGGACATCGACGCCGTATTTGATGAACAAATATATAAAGAGTATGGTGAACCCCATTCACGAGGTTGTGCCATTCTTTGACCCCATTCTCGGAAATTCTCTCATCGACCTAAATACTCTATGGGCTGCCAATCCATCAGGGCAGCACAGTGAGATACGAAGAAGTGATTCAGATGTTCATCCTTATACGCTTATCCACATTCCTGGCGTAGATCCATTATCGTTTTATGGGGAGGTAATACCTTATTATCAATTTCAAATGTACAGTCACCAATTGCTGGATTTTCTATCGGACATACAATACTTCGATTTACGGTCAATAGACCGTGACGGACAAATTGTAGCATATCGCTACTAAGGTGATATTTCTGCAAATTGATACTTATCTGATTTACGGAAGTATAGACTAAACTAAGTACGTATCCTTCGTATCTATAACGAGTGCATCAGTCGTAGAATTCAACTTTGTCTATATATTTATTCCCATTTTCCTGAGAATTGCGAATATCAATTTCTTGATCTATATTCGCACGTGGATGTATTATTAGGGCAGATACTGACTTCTAATGATAAACATGTTGCTATTTATTGGGCGGGTATCAGAGAAGGTCTATTTTTCCATCTGTTAGAGATTAGAAAAGTATGAAAGATGTCATCAATTTGTTGTACAAATCATTTCCCTAACCCTCCCCCCCCTAAATCAAACATGTGCACTGATAACGGTAGCGAGTTCTGCGATGACGTAATGGAATCGTTAGTACTCGTATCAGGCATGTGCCATAAAAGGGGTGTACCATATAAACCGAAAACACAAGGCGCGAATGAAACGCGCCAAAGAAGACTTAAGTTCTTTTTACGTACTGCACTAACGGATAATTCAGATGATTGGTCGTACCACCTTAAATGGGTACAAACACAAATGAACGAGTGTGCTGATCCGGTTACAGGTACAACACCAGCTCACTATTTTCGTGGCAGATATAGGGAGTTACAAATACCTTTGAACAAGGCCGAACCTAATCACATTGAGTTACCATGGTTAGAGAAGTACAACGTATTTATAACGTTGTATATCCTTGCTTGCGAGAAACACGCAATATAGCCTTATTAAAAAGGCAAAATAGATGGAACGCTACCAAAAAGATAGCAGAGTATCAGGTTGGAGACAGAGTTAATATCCGTCAACGTGATTCCGATGCTACTGTACTAACATCGAAATGGATAGGATCATACATAATCTCTGTAGCCGACACTAAAAGTGGAACCTATGATGTTAATAACCCCGACGGTTCTAGTGCTTTAATTATAGGCACTAGTCGGATTCCGACTACTGAGATTATACTCGCAAGAAGACATGACTCTAATGCACCTCTTGATCGTTCTGAATTTAAAGACATTATATGGAGAGCAGATAAGGGAGGTTATACATACTATCGTACACGCTTTATAGACGGTACAATCGCTGAGTTGATTTCAGATGCTTTCGATAATCAAGACTATTTAAAAACCTTTAATCAAAAATAGCGTAAACGCCTGCATAAGTCACAAGCTGAAAAAGATAGCATGTCTCCATCATCTGAAGGCACGGAAGTTAAAACTTACCCGCCTACAGCATTTATCCCGAGCTTTAATGCCCACCCTTCATATGTGCTTAAGACACTGAAGCGTAGGAAACGTCCAGTCGACCACCCCGGACCTACTGGACCTAAGCCCAAAACTCACAGGGTATACGAGAACGCTTCACTTCTCCGCCTGAGAAACATTAACTATATGTTATGCTACTTAATGTTTCGACCCGTTTTTCCTTCTCGCTTTG